TTGAACTCTACGGGCCCGGCGTCGTCGACGATATGACCTACGATCCGAAGCTCCAAGGTCTCGAATACCACGGCTGCTTCGTCAAGGACCCTCAGCTAACTCGCCATGATGGTTCTCTAGACCGGGATTCACTTAAAAGACAAGTCTACCGGCAAGCTCAACAAGATACTACCGAAGGCGACTACAACATTGACTACAGCCTACTACCCAGCGTTATTCTGGTAGCCAACATTCGCACCTTCAGCAATAATCCATCACACTCGCCCGTAGCTTCCGGTCCAAAGCTACTGACAATGTCTCTGGCCGTTTCTTTGCTACCTGACGCACACCCGAACGATAAGTTCCCTCTCTATGTACGTCCAACACGCATGGCACGTCCAACACGCATGGCACGCACGTTCTACCACACATTCGTAGAATTTTTATTCCACGCGCTGGTACATGTTCTATTTTAATCAGATACAAGACGCTTCGCTGCTGAATGCGGAGCAACTCAAATTTTAAGTGGGGCCAGAATGCTTGGTTGTTGCGATGAGGCAGCCTGCTCTTGGGTAGCTGGTATCGTGAGTCCTTGGGTTGCTGGCAGCTTAGGCTCTTGGCAAATTCGGGTCTTAAGTCAGTTGGGCTTGGCGATATTTGCTTGGGTTATTACTGGGGTCGCTTAAGGGAGAGTTTGCGAAGTTCGGTTGCGGTTGGGTCTAGGCTGTTGGTGGCGCCTTGTAGAGCGCTTTCGAGGGCAGATGTGAGTGAGATGAGGGGTGTGACGATCATGGTGGGAATGACGCAGGCGATGGAGAAGAGGCTGCCGCCGTCCACGAGGGAGCCCACATCGCGCACGCCTCTTTTGAGTTGTAGAACGGCGGTCTCAAGTCCTTCTGCTAGCGACTCTGGTTGGCAGAAATCGTCAGCTCCGCGATTCACGAGGTCCCAGGATTGCGGGGACTCCTCGCCTTCGTTTAAGTTGTAGTTGCTTGGGTCCCTACTTGGATCATTATCGTTACTGCTGCGGGCCTGTCGTAGGTGGCTGCGGGCGCGTCCAAGTTTAAGCGGTCGAAGCTCTCTTGGTAATATGCGTGATGAAGTTGGGTCGAACGTGGTGATAAGGTTCGAGCTACAGTGAAGACTCTGAAGTGCCAGAAGGTGCAATAGAGTCCCGGAGGTTTTCAGTATCCCATCCTTACTGCGTACCAGACGTCGGAAAGAGGTGCTTACATACTGTTCCAACCAGTAGGACACTCTTGTGGTCTTCTGACGAAATAAAACCCGTGCACTTCGACAAGATACGTCCGCTAGGAGGTGATCGAACCCGTCGACTTCCGTGGAGGATTGCCCAAACCGCAAGGATGACTCCAGCAAGGGAGACGACCCCGGCTCAATATCGTCATTATCGTCGTCGAGGCCAAGTTCATCCAGAACGTCTGGGTCGTGGCCATGATCGGTATTCAGATCGTCATGATCTAGACACAGGTCGTCATGATCTAGACCCAAGACGTTCTCGAAATCCTGGTTGTAAATGATATCTCTGAATTTGCGAATTTTGATAAGCTGCTGATAGTCATCCTCGTCACTTGGCGCGCTCGCCGTTAGTAGCGCCTCGATCACATTCGCAAAGGGGATGGACGCCAGTAACCGTCGCAACACCAACTTGGTCTGTTTTTTGTTCGAGAACTCTTTTACCAACTTCTGGCCTAACTGATTGGGCGTATGCAACCCCACGATGTGTATGGGTAACACTTGAAGGGTAATCAGATTAAGATTCTTCAGAAATTTCATCGCTACATTCAAAGCCTTCATCTGTACGGACTTACAACCGGGATCGTTACACCTCGGGTTCCGGCAACGTCCACCCACTCGGCCATCCTGATCCGGATTCACCTCGAGCACTAAATCCAATCTCGCTATACTAAACTTTCGGATCAATAACAGGCTGGTATCCGATCTTTCCGGTCGAGCCTGATGTATCCCTAGGGAATGTAAAGGAGATTCCTTGTCGAGACACATTACACGAGGGGGTGGTATCCCAGCAGTCGGAATGCTAGTAGATATTGGGCCGTTAGTTGAAGCATTATTTGGACCGTTACTTGAAGCATTATTTGGGCAAGCGGTAGACGGAGGGGTATTCCGTTGAGGGAAAGATTCAAAGAATAACACTAATGTACCAAAATCGAGGGTGCATAAGTATCGAGATAATTGCACACGTATGCTGTACTCGTAAAGTGTTTTACGATGATGTTCTTCAACAGATCCATCAGCAATAATAGACCCTGTTTGGAGAGTACCCACTGTCAAGTCAATCAGATCGGGTATCGGTTCGAGGGAATTGTCAATAGGTTTTGCATCAAACTGGATACAGATTGCGGCTTTGTCATCGTCGTCCATCCTACCTGCATTCTTGTTGTACGACTGAATAATGTTTTCATATCTTGATCTTGGATTTAAATCTTTGATGCGCAATTTTTGAGCGGTGACACACGTGTGTGCAACACCAACCTTATCTAATTCCAACTGTAACAAGGGCAATACTGTCACCGATAAACTATCTATTTCGAGAAACTTAGCTGCAGGGACAGTCTCTTCTAAAGTAAAATCCTCAGGATTCAATGTTTTATTAGTGGTATCGTGCATACCCTCGACCCATGTAAAGACCATTGAACGCGCCTCACCAGGTCCCAGATGACCAGAGTCCGGGAGACCAGAGTCCGGGCGACCAGAGTCAAGACGACCAAGGTCCGGACGCCCAAACTCCAGGCGTGAGAGCTGATCATTTCCAGAATATTTTGTTTGCTTGTTATCATTCTCTAGCCATTGCCTCCACCGGGGTGGCACGAGCGCATACGCGGTATGAAATAGAGTCCCCATAGCTTTCAGTGCGTCCTGCTCCTCAACATCAAGTCTTACATCCCCCAAGTGTACGGAGCCATCAGATCTCAGCGTGAACACGTTAATTGAGCCCCTAACCGGTTCCCCGCCGGGGGCCGACGTCTTTCTGTTTCCGACCAAGTTATTGTTTAGATTGTCGGTTCCGATCAAAAGGTCATAGGAATCTATTCCCGACACACGCATCCCCTGTACTATGGCACTGGTCGTTACCATACGTTGGTTGCGGCATTCCAAAGTAATAACTCCTGACTCATGGCCGTATATCCATCGGTCAAGAGTGTGATCGCTGATGACTGAGGGAGAAGGTGGAGAAGAAAAGAGTGGAGAAGAGGACGGTGGCGAAGGGCAAGGTGGGGAGAGGGATCCCAGACTGGTGTGGATGTTGCAATCGATTAATTTCATGCGAAGGTTGCAATCGGGTAGTTGAATAGGGGAGTCTTCAACTGGTGGATCGAACTGCTCCAGTATCATGGCAGCATAAACTAGGTCTATGTTGACGGAAACACCTTCCATCTGCGCCTCCGCCATGTAAAGTGCCTCTTGCAACCGAAGCTGGACCAACAGCTCTTTAACAGAGACACATGGTCCTGTCCTCCCATCGTTCTTAGTAGCTGACAGATATACACTACTTCGACAGGGATCCAGGTCGCTGACTGAACGACCAGCAAATGCATCCCAACAGCTAGGTTGCGAATCATTCCGCTGCCAAGAACATCTTCGACGATCGTTCGGGTCACAATCAGTACTCACATTTTCGGGTTTTAATTGCGGCTCAGAACCACAGTGTTTCAGACCGTCCCTCCAAGCACAGGGAGCACTCCAGGGAGCAGCAATGCTTAGTCCAGCGGGGGACGTGTCGGAAAGACGAATTTCCAACGTGTCCAAAAGTCCTGTACAGAAAGAATTTGGCATCCAAGAGAACTCGGCAGAACGTAGACTCGACACCATGGCCACTGGCATGTCCGCTTCCTCCCATACACAACCGAGCGAACTTAAAGTTAACCGCAAACCGCACGAATTGAGGTCCTGGTTCGGTGCAACTTCCAGTTGGTCGAAACTTACCTTTAGATTTCGACTAGGCACTTTGTGACCCGTAGCAGACAAAGGCCTCTCCCAAATACTGCCTCCAGATGTCTGACGACCCGCCGACTGACGACCCGCCGACTGACGACCCGCCGACTGACGACCAGACGATTGGCGGCCAGATATCATCCGACCAGACGACTGGCGGCCAGATGTCTTGCGACCGATGGGTGGCGCACCGGCCTTGTTGGCGACACTCTTATGCGTCAAGGGACCTTGCAACGACTGATGAATAGACTTGGGCAACTCCTGTATCTCTGCGAACTGTATTCGGTTTTGGCCCATCCGTAGTCGGAAATCCTTGAAGACGTTAATCCATTCGTAAAGGGTTTGTCTGCCCTCCTCTTGGAAAGAGGTCTCGGAAACAGCATTGGACGCCGCGGGAAAGCAATGACCTTCTTCTTGAACGAAATCTGGGAAAACTGTCTGATCTAAGCTATTAGTAAGTTCTATGTCTATCTCGAGTCCTGAATCAATTTCAAGAACACGCGGTCCTCCGCGACGTGGAGTGGGAGAATGCACCGCTCCCGGAGTAGCTCCCGGAGTAGCTCTTCCCGGAGTGGTTCCAAAAGACGACGCACCGTTCTCGTTCGTCGACGCTGGCCACTCTTCTGCGGCCGACGCATCCACGCGACAGTGAGCCACAAACTGAGACATGCTGACACGGACAACACCTTCCAGCCTGTCGCGAAGTAGGCTGGACTCTAGCGCTACCCAGCCAACCTTCACCGTAATTTTCTCAGCATTGTATTCTATACACACGTCTTCAACCCGAAGCCACTCGTCGGCAAGTAGATTGGTTGTGTGTTGATTGGCTGCTTGTTGGTGGCATGAGGGTAGGTGGCATGAGGGTAGGTGGCATGAGGGTAGGTGACATGAGGGTAGGTGGCATGAGGGTAGGTGGCATGAGGGTAGGTGGCATGAGGGTAGGTTGCCTGTGGGATCTCTTCTCCAGGCCGCGTCCATTGTCCTAATTTGAACTAACACGGACCACGTGTCGTTGGATAGTTCCCTCTTTAAATAAGCAGTCATTTCAGGGTCGGATGACTCGCCAGAGTCGCTATTCGAAACTTCAGTCTCGCCCGCTCCCGTCCCGCCTAGCGGGGCCGCGTCGGGTTCCGACCGGCCGACTACGGCATTGCCAAAGTTTGCTGCCGTTTGGCCAACTAGGTCTTCTTCGTGGTGGTAAGGGTCGTGTTCCACGCCAGGACCGTGTTCAGGTGCCAGAATCCGCCTAATCAGATCAGCGAACGGTGATGTTGAGATCTGAACAACTTCCATGAGATCTGCAAAGCGGGCCGACTCGCAGACTACCCCAATTGTACGGCTGGACCAGTCCGACTTGATGACGACGTCTTCAAGAACGCATACGGAAGCGAGCGCTTCCGGAGTGAACGCTTCCGGAGTAAATGCTTCCGGAGTGAACGCTTCCGGACGGAGCAGCCCTGGAATTCGCCGTCGGGCATTGATGGTCGGGTCAGGAGATGGACTTGCAAGATGTATGTTCATCGTTTGTAAAAGAATTGTCCCCGAGAGTGAACGAGGAACGAGCGTGCCCTGAGTTGAGAGACCGGTTGCACACAAAGCTAGCGCTGGTTGCCACCTGGTCTCACGCTCACAGTTCAATCTCCGGGAATCGGCCGACACGTCGGGCGGCGCTTGCCAAATCACGACGGTGGCCTTATTGCAGTTAACGGACACGTTCTGAAACGCGGACGAAAGCAGCGAGAGCAGCGCATCTACCGCCCCGCGCACCCCCACGCCCGCCTCCAGGGGCGATGTATTCGTGTCTAGGTTCGCATTCGTGTTCGCACACGCGTGTGCACTCGAGTTGGCGCGCTGTGCGGAGCCATTGTATGAGTTCGGTGGCACGCCCGGTCTCGGTATATCGTTGCACTGAATTAGTTCGAGCTCTGGCAAGTCGTCTGCGTTGACCGCCTGTTCGGTAACGTGCACGAACAAGTCCTCCAGCTCGACCACCAAGTCCGCCCGCACTGACAGGCGTGCTCCTTTGCACGTTATGTACAACGTCGGGGATTCTCCTTCTGCGGGACCAGCATCACCCGCCGTGACTTCCTCACCGCCCCCCCCGGCCTTGACCTCCCGACTGAGACCAGCGTTCGCGACGGCGTCATCCTGTGCTCCAAAAACTGGGTAGGATATCGAATACCAGTCCTTCACTTGTACAGTTAGAGGTCTGAAACGGAACAGAATGAATGGGCGACTCGTCGAGCTATAGACAAGCCAACCACAACCAGGCGACCTTGCAAACAGTCAGGCACAGGTGTGATAGATTACGTGAACGTGTAGTCCACGTTTCCCTTCGCAAAAATGCCGGTAGACTCAAGCAGGCGATCTGTCAACCAGGGCATGGATGAACCCCTCGACTTTTTAGCAAACCTCACACCCCCTAAAAATTGGCTGGTTATCGTCCCCCTGCGGACTCATTGTCTAGAGAGGTGCGTAAGTGGTTGCTCAGTAATTGCGACCAGCTTCTGGTTGCAATCACGATGTAATTACGAACTGGTCACAGCCACCAGTTGGTTGCAACCACCAGTTGGTTGCAGCCACGAACTGGTCGCAATCGCTAAGGTGATAAGGCGAGCGTCAACTCTCTCCACTGCGTGCAGGTAGGAGAGCGGCAGCTTCAACGGGAAGAGTATTCATGGCGAAGAGTCTTGGCGTCGCAGACTGTTTGGCCCTGAAGATTGTTAGTGTTGAAGACTGCTGTGGGTGTTGCTGAATTGAAAATATTTCGGGGGAATTTTAGAATTCCATGAGGAGTTGCAGAACGGATGAGTCCAGAGGAGTCAGTTGTTGTGTGTACGGCACACTGGCAGTAGTAAACAGTATCGATGAAGTTCCGATGCGCAATTCGCCGATTTCTGAGGGTGTTGAGAGCCCGACGCTGCTAGGTAGAAATTCCCCAGCGCTAAGTTCCCCGCCCCACAGCCCCCCACCGAGCTCCCCGTGGAGCTCCCCCCGGGGCTCGCCGACGTGGGGCACACCGGTGTTGGAACGTGTGGTCCATGCCGAGCCGATAGCCACCCTGCCGGAGCCGAATTTCGGGATTTGGCGGGGCTCCGAGGCTGCCCACGGGTCTGAAAGTTTCCAACCTATAAGCTTCGAAACTGAGGGTCTCGAGCAAGACCGGACCAGCATTGGACAGGCCAGCATTGGACAGGCCAGCATTGGACAGGCCAGCAGTGTGGAGAGTAACGCAGACACCTTCGAGAACAGGTTATTAGACGCGGTGGACGAGTACAATAACTTATGTCTGGAGGTAATAGCTGTCGCAATGGTGAACCAGACTAGCCCTTATCCGTCGGCGAGGAAAGGTACGACATTAGTACCACTGACCGAAGCAGTTGAGACGGCGGGGCCTCTGCAGCGGCTCGCGGTCAAAATTTTGTTTCTGCAAGATGCCACTGGCAACGAAAGTTACGACGGACGAGATGCGCTCACCGTGGAACAGACCGACGAAATCCTGGACTTGGCGCTCAAAGAAAGAGATCGCTTGGACCTGGCGGAAAGAGAAAGAATCCGCTTGGCTGCGATAGCGGAAGAGCAGAGTGTTCGATTGACAGCGCAAGAGCAGAGTGTTGAGTACGAGAATGTTCCGAACGAGCGTGTTACGAGCGATAGTTTTCGAAGTGGTGGTTCTCAGAGCGATAGTTTTCGGACGGAAAGTTTTCGAAGCGACAGAAACCACCAGAGTGTTCGGATAACGCAGCAAGACCTTCAGCTCAAGGACACACGTTTGACAGAGGGGGACACACGTTTGACAGAGGAGGACACACGTTTGACAGAGGAGGACACACGTTTGACAGAGGACGAGCAGTTGAACCCAAGAAGGACCCTGAGCATCATCTCCGGCGATGTAGTGAGACCAGGCCAGAGTGGTGGCCGGGCGGGTGCAAGTCGGGCGGGTTCTGGAGCGACCGTCACCCTCCCAGTGTCTGCACCCCTAGCGACTCTCATGGCGGCTGGGAAGAATGAAGCGGTAACGGTGCGAGCAAACTTCAACATTGACGACCTGGCTTCCGCCATCCTGGTACACTTTGGCTTTGAGGTCCCGGAAGGACTACATCCAGGCCAATACATAGAACAAATCTTACAGGCCGGTCGGCAAAAGACCATTAGCCCTCAAACCATTCGACAAAAAAATGCCATTTCTCTGGAACCGAATTTTCAGGTACCGAATTCTCAGGAACCGAATTCTCAGGAACCGACTCAACTTCTTAGCGAAAAATCCCTGGACGCCGAGTAATTCGGCCCATAACCAACCCTTTCGACAACCCCTTCGACGGGTGTAAATGACATGCCGTGGTGCAGTATGAAGTGGTGGATGGTTCTCCAGATTTCTGTGGCACTGAGCTTGAACTCTGGTACAAGCTCAATGAGTTCTCAAGACGGTGGTATTTTCAAGTCGTTATTAAGGGGATTGAATCCATTTCAGAATCAAATGGTCTACACTTAGGCATGAAGTTTACTTCCAACTCTGAAAGCAGCAAGTTACTACTTTTTTCTTAAAAGAGACATGATGGAACATGTTGAACTGAAACATTATCTACTTATACTAACCACTGCGTCACTACCGCTGAATTACATCGCTGCTCTACCGGGTGCAGTGACGCATGCCATGCGGGTTATAGTCTGGCTAAGTTGCATTCTCCTCACCCAACAGACAACAGGCCGGACACTCTCTCTCTCGCGACGACTTGGATTGAAGTCCAAACGGCGAGAAGGACTGACCTCACCAAAGGAAGCTTTTCCGAAGGAAGCTACGCCATCAGCTGATGATAGTATTGACGGCTTGTCGACTAAAACCAAGAAAAAGGGACTCAAGTTATCGATCCCTAACCCAGTGAAGAAGCTGCTTAAGAAGAGTGCAGGATCTCTGAAAAAAAGCAGTCGATCGTTGAAATCCGCACTTTCCCCCAGGAAGAGGAAAATTATCGAAGACCAACTGAGCCCAGACGACCGACATCTCGACGACCTATCTGGGAACTTGGGTCCACCCGAACTGAGCCAGGCCGCTGCGCTAGATGGGGCCGCTGGACCAGACCAGACCGCTGAAATAGAACAGGCAGTTGAACAAGACCAGCAGACGGCTGAACAAGACCAGCAGACGGTTGAACAAGACCAGCAGATGGTTGAACAAGACCAGCAGATGGTTGAACAAGACCAGCAGATGGTTGAACAAGACCAGGCGGTTGAACAAGACCAGGCGGTTGAATCAGGACAGGACGAAGGGTCCGAATCTGGAGCTACCGCAGCCGGGGCAAATGCAGAAGTCGAGAGCGAAACGCAGACCCAACCACTACCAACGAAAGCTCGGGTCAAACGAAAAGGAAGTCGCGGTCCGTTTTCAGCAGAGGCTCGGGAAACCGCGCGCGAGATAATTCAGTGTCGGCGAGATCAGCGACTGTGTTGAGTCTGAACAAGGTCACATGGTTGTCTGGGGGAGGTCGCCTGGTGGTGGTGCGGACGGAGCTCGCATGTTGTGCGGGTGCACGGATGAATTGTTTTTCGTGGTGGTGGCTGGTGTGCTTTTTGGTGAGTGACCCGGGAGTGGAGGGTGCGCCTAGTAACGTCCGGCGAGTCCCGGCGCCCCCTCCTGGTTGGGGGCTGGGGGGGAACTTGCGGGCGTTGCGAGCACCTCGTGGAACAGCTCGAGAAACTTTGGAGGGGAGCCGGACGCCTCGGTCTTCTCGAGGGGGAGCGAATTCAAGCCGGGGTTCGAGTCCGGCTAGGCCTAGCATCGGATTGAATGAGTCACTTGCTTGGCGAAGGAAGATGCATGAAGCCCGGCGCGCGGCGGTTATCATGGGGCTTCAGGCTACGATGGAAAGCGGCGCAATGACCTCACTCGGGTCGGGCCCGGCCGCTCGCCGGAACTCAATCCAGGGCGTCGGCAGACGAGGCAGTACCACCAGCCGCCGCGGCAGTCGTTTTCGCTAGGTCTTCAAATAGCTGCGCCCGCTTGCCTGCCAGCACGGCGCGCTTCCGAGCACGACCAGCCTGCTCCTTCAAAGACACATCGTAGTCATCAGCCTTCCGACGACTATACCCAGAATTCACGTTTGTAGAGGGGTCTTTGGTCAAGCGTTTTTCTAGAACGGACAACCGCGTCGGATCTACGGCGTCGTAAATCAACAAAGTCACCGGCATATCTGCGCTACCTGTCGTCGTGCTACCCGTCGTCGTGCCACCAGTCGCCGTGCCACCCGTCGCTTTGGCTGCATCAGTACCTGCGCTGGCTCCGTCAGTGCCTGCGCTTACCGTTTTATTGTCACCTGAGCTGTTATCACTTGCTCCATTTCCGCTTAATGTTTCGTTGCTGGTCTTCTTTTGACTGGGCATATGAATGGTCAGCTTTATATCATCCTTCTGTTCCGCAGATACCGAAGATACTTCTTTGCCTTTCATGTTTTGGTCCAGTTTCAGTACGGACGCGCTCAGATCCGCCATTCCCAGAATCAGTTGATTCGCCGCGTCCTTGAGGGTTTGCTCTTGCACAGGCTTCTGAAGGGGACTCGAATTAAACCCCAGTTGACACTCGACACCGATTTGTCACGACAGTCTTTCGGCGCGACAGTCATTCGACGGGACATGGAAGGCGTCAAGGCAACCAAGGTAAGATCGCAGACGGAATAAGGGTTGAAAGTGGACTAAATCTAGCCTACCGCTTGATTACTTAGTTCCGCCTCCTGCGCCATCGCCTCTGCCTTTTGCTTGCTGGCTTCAGCCTGCGCTGCCTTCATTTCCTCCAAGCTTGCCTCCAGCTGCTCTGCATCAATGTTCGATTGCGCAGCGCTCGCTGTCTCAACAGAGCTCTGGGTTTGCGACAGAAGCTGTTCAAGGACGCTGTTGATGAGCGACATCGGGTCAAGGCTGTGAGCGAGAGCAAAGAGCCATGTGATTTGTAGAATTCTTGTGTTCATGTCGGATAGCACACGCGTGTGCAGTCTATTACTTGAAACTAAAATCGAAGACTCTTGTTTTCCCAAACTTGACTTCGTTTTTGGATTCGTTTAACAGCTGTTTATACTTCATTTTCTCATTTCTCTCCTGGTCCAGTAAAAGTCGCAATGCGCGAATCTCGCCCAAAAGGCCGGGATGCAAATTAACCTCCGACATATGATTAGAGTCTGTAGAGACAGGAGACGACGGAATGCTTTCTATGTCCAGGTTTTGCCATGGACAAAGTTGGTTATCATTGCCGCTATGCAATAGTGCATTGTCTTGTAAACACATCTAAGAATTGAGAGAGATTAGCTGAAATGCACTCTACCGGTTCTAGGGTGATCCATGGACGTCTTACGATTTCAATCAGTGCTTGATATCTAGCTAATAAATTGCAATACCTGCCGGACAGTTCCTGGTATTTTGTACTCAGCATATCCGAGGATCTAGAGACCTGGCGATAGTATTTGATCTCCTTGTATAGGACCTCTATGTGATTTTCCGCTTGTTCTATCCTCGATCGGAGATCCCGGCATTGATCTTGATATTCTGTTAACAGAATCTCGTAGTCCTAAAAAACAGTAAGTGTTCAGCACAGGCGGTCGCTCTAAAGCTGGTGTGGCTCATTATCTCTTACATTTGAAGCAGGTCCAGTATCAGCAGTTATGAGTCCGGATAATCTTTGTAGCTGTTGAAGAACGCAATTCTCGAGCCTTTGCTGATCAGAGGACCGTGGATCCGAAGATCGTGGATTCGAAGATTGTGGATTCGAAGATCGTGGATTCGAAGACCGTGGATCCGAAGACCGTGGATTCGACAACAAGCCATCCGACGATTCGAGTCCCACGGAAGTCGCACAATCATCTAGAGTACTACCTTGGCTTATATGCGGGTGAACCACTGCCGGGGGGGACATTATGGGGCTATCCCGCGTGAAGAAGATGTTTAAATGGACTGTGTAAATTTCGATTAGTTTTTTGGCACGTTCTCTGTTTCGGAACCGCCGAAAGATCGAGAAAAATTATGGGATCAAAACAAGGTATATATGCGGCCTGGACTTTATCGACCGCGAACGAACAGCCAGAAGTGCAATCAGTCACGTCTTGTGCAGCGCTACAAGGAACCCGAGCCGCCGCACACGCGTGTGCCACATAAACTAGCTGTCCGGAGGCGGCGGTCGCCACAGCGGCGGCGGCTGGTAGACGCCCGGGGGCGGGTAGTACATCCACGCAGGCAAGTACTGAGCAGGCGGCGGCGGCGGAGGCAAAACCACAGAGTGCTCCAAGTGCTCGCAAATCAACCGCTGCTTGGTCTCTTCATACTACCAAAAAGAATTTCACTCAGAGGGGAGGGACACGCGGGACTGGGAAGGGGCAAGGGAACCGTGGGCAAGGTCTTGGGAACTACCATCCAAAATCAAAGACCTGGGAAGTCGGGAACTTCGAACACGGGAACTGGGGATCAGGACACAGGTGAAGGCATCCACCGGAAACGAGCAGTTCCGGAAACGAGCGGTTGATTCCGACGACCAGGTCGACCAGGTCGACCAGGCCGACTTCGGTGAGAGATCGAACTCTGACGGAGTTTCCACAGCCGACAATGTGCCCGGACATTTGATGTCCAGCACAGAGCGACTGTCCGCACATGGCGGTTGGTCATGACGGGGACTCTCCGAGCGTCAGCTTCGTCGCGTCTGGACAGGGCCATTGGGAGCTTGTTCGCGGCCGTTGAAGACGCAACGAGCGGCGACTCAAAAGGTGCCTCACAGCTTGGTTTTGGTAGTTTGGTTTTGGTAGCTTGGTTTTGGTGGTTTGGCCTTGGTGGTTTGGTTTCGCAGTCAGTCTGGTCTGCGGCGTGCATGTAGGCTTACTAGTTTGGTTCGTTCTTGTAGAGTAGGGGTCATGGAGATGGGGGCAAGCTTGGACGCAGCGGACTTGGGCTGTTGTGGTTGCCGGGCAGTAGTAGGGGCCGCAGCAGGCGCTGTCTCGCCGGATGGTGGTTTCGGCCTCTGCAGTAACCTATAGCGTCTGGAGTCCATAATAAAACATGCCTCCTACTCGGATTTTAAAATATGCTTGATGCCTTCCACATTCACGGACAATGAACACGGTAAACCAAAACTGCGGAACTGGAAACACAACCAGGTGCACGACCAACACCTACACGACCAATCACCCCGGCCAGACTTAAGATGGGTTTTTCCTGCAGTGAGAGAGATCGAATTTACAAAAGAGCAACTGGCGGAATATGACGCGCTTCTCAACGATGAATGCAATCAAAAACTGAAGGATTTCTGGCAGAGTAAGAAAACTACCAATCAGTCGAGCAGGTACCGATCAAATTGGGTCGTCAAATTTGGTCGTCAAATTGGGTCGTCAAATTTGGTCGTCTCCGAAGCGTGTATGTTTTAGAAAAGTACCGGCAAGACCAAGGCAAGAATTGGGAGTTGTTTTATAAACGGAACGAGACCAATTTCTTCAAGGATCGCACTTGGCTAACACGAGAGTTCGCCCACAATGGATGTGACGCAGATATGTTTGACTTGCAGAGTCTGAGTAAGACCGACGGGACGTGGAAATTCATAGACATCGGCTGCGGGGTCGGTAATGCGGTTTTCCCTCTTCTGAAGCTTTGTAAGCCCCTGCTATAATCGCGACTATGGGGGATGTGTGCGAATGCGCACACAGACACACACGTGTGCGCGAGTTTGCACACACGTGTGCGCGAGTTTGCACATATGTTTACTTTAGATCCGAATTGTCGAGCGTATGAGTATGACGTGTCAAGAAGGGCAATAAATTTTCTGGAAGAGCGCTACCGGACAGACTCAGTTCTTGGTCGTATAGTGCGCGTCGGTGTGTGGGACCTTATTAAGCATGAACATCCACAAGAGATTTGGTCACCCAAAGTCAAAATTGAAGGGCACGCACATGAAGGGCACGCACATGAAGGGCACGCACATGAAGCAGAGGCAATGGATGTAACAGTCACCGATTTGGCTATCTCGACGGATGATTATAGGAACATGGATGTGGCTATGCTAATGTTTGTTTTGTCAGCTATTCCCATTGAGAATGTCCAAACCGTCATAGGGAGAGTAGTAAAGACGTTACGAGTTGGAGGTCTACTCTTATTTAGGGATTATGGTAGGTATGATGAGAAGGAAATCCGTTTCGCAAAACGATCGCAGTCTAAGTTAGACGACCACTTTTATGTGCGGCAAGATGGCACATTGGCTTTGTACTTCGATAAAGATGAGCTGGATCAAAATATGAGTGCTAACGGATTTGAAGTAGTTAGCTCTCAGTACATCACTAGACAGTTTACAAACAGGAAGACGGGTCAAAAACTCAATCGGTGTTGGCTTCAAGCCATCTACCGACGGAAATCCTGACCAGCCAGAATGTTTGATACACGCGCGTCACCCGGGTAATAATTGTCATCTGGGTAATAACCGTCATCTGGGTAATACACATCATCCGGGTAATAAACGTGCAGCAATGCTTGCTCATTAGTCAGTCATCCATGTCGCAACCGGTCGGTATCCATTCCGTCGAATTCCAATAATATCACAGCACCGCTTACCTCATCCCTCTTAAACGTTTTCGTTCAAAAAGAACTGGACAGGGACTCCCCGAGAGAGACTACGGAACAAAGCGATATACGGTGTGGTAATACACGGTGTGTGAATACACGCACGGTGTGTGAATACACGCACGGTGTGTGAATACACGCACGGTGTGTGAATACACGCACGGTGTGGTAATACACGGTGTGTGAATACACGCACGGTGTGTGGTTTTACCATTTGAGATAGAGGTACATGAAATCTCCCATTAATATTAGCTGAATGACCTGGCCGATAATCACCCAGATGCCGGCGAAAGACTTCAATTTCCTGCTAGGGTCGTTCAGCTCGGAGTACGTGGCGACCCAGAATATAAAGGAGAGAATTTTCGCAAGGCACTGGCCGGCCAAGAAATGGGACGTAAAGGGCTCCACGCGTTTCTGAAAGAATAATGGATGCTTTCCAATGGGGCTTACATCTTTTTGGAAGTAGTACAACTGAGGGAGAGAAGCGACCGCTTCCAAATACAAAGCAAACGTCCAAGAGATCTGAAGAGCAACAGGGAGATACCGTGGCGGAGAGGGAGGGGGTGGAGGTTTCGGGAGGGAGGGGGTGGAGGTTTCGGGAGGGTCTAGGGAGGGACTAGGTTTCAGGAGGTTGGTCTACATCGGCTGGTGTGAAGGCGTTGAGAGTAGGGTGAAAGATGAAGGAGAGGAGGAGGCAGGGTAGTATCAGGAACACGTGTTTGAAGGCATCTTGGTTGGCGTCGTAGGTGGCGTTGTATCGCTTGCGACCCATGTAAACGATCGTGCCGCAAAGACACAGGGATAAGGCTTCGGTCAGTTGGTAGAGCCAGTCGCCTGTGCGGTCATAGGGTAGGTAGCCTTCAAAAGGAATGATGGAGAAGAGCCGACATGTAAGCAGGATGAGGTAGCACTCGAACATCTTTATGCTAACGCCTTTGACATTTCCTTGCTTCTCGATCTTCTGGGCGACCATGAAGAAGCAGAACGTGCTCACGAGCGAAGACAACGTTAACAGAAAGGAAAAGTCGCGGTCCGAAATGAATATGAACACAATGAAGACCGTCAACGCGAAACCCGTCCAGGCGTTGATGGAGGTCTTGTGCTCCTGAAACCACGATCCTACTCCACGACCGCCGGCAGATGCAGAGGATGACTTTAACATAATTCAAAAAAATCAATTCGTTATGATGTGGTCCTTAGTGTAAGGGGGACACACAAAACCATATATCTTCACACCATTCATGTAAGTGAAGTCACTAAAACCCAAGCTATACTACACCCACCCACCCACCCATGACGTCCCACCCACCCATGACGTGGTGACCTGCAGTGGTGCGTGCGACTTTCGGTGGCGTTACCTTGAGTCCTGGTTGGAAGAGATATAGATTTGAAGGGAGCTGCACTTTTGGAACTTCGTACCCTTCATCGCAATGCGGTGACTACTATTCCTAATAACGATGATAATAACACATAGGATAATAATACAGGTAGCAACCGTGGCCGGATATAGTACGTGGAGTGTGGGTGGCTTAATGGTGGTGGTTTAATGACGTCGGTAAGACCTTCTGTACCGAGTAAAGCTTACTTCAAGTCAGCGGCCGCTAGGTCAATCGATTGAGCAGGCGGTACTGCGTTCACCTCATCGAAATCCAGGTCGTCAGTATTAGAGTACAGATCCACATGTTTAGGTCCAGAATGGTTATCATCCGGTTGTTCGCCGGACACGAATTGAACCTACAGAAAGTCCGCTAGTTGGGGGGTCCGCTAGTTGGGAGTCCGCTAGTTGGGGGGTCCGCTAGTTGGG